GATGAGGGTGTGGACAGCACAGCTTGTCTCCACAAACAGGGGCTGGGGGCTCACTAAGGGCTGGTGGGGGGTGGTGGTGGTGGTCACTGAGGGCTGGGGGTCCCACTGAGGGCTCAAGAGGGACTCACTAAGACCTGAGGGACTCACTAAGACCTGGGGCACTCACTGAGGGCTGGGGTCAGGCCTATCAAGGGCCAGAGGATTCCCCCTGAGGGCTGGGGGCTGACAGTGGCTTGGGGTCCCCTTTCCCAGCTAGGGAACTGGGGTACAGAGCACAGTGGGCCTCGCCCAGCCGAGGGGCTGGAATGCAGCAGCCGGAGGCGCAGCTTGGGGGTGGGGGCTGGGTGGTTGGGCAGCCAGCGAGGGGAGGCGGCTGAGATGACCTCACCCCCCAGGCCTCCGGCCGCCGCGGGGTCTGCTCCGCCTGGGCTCCGGGCCCCTTCCTGGCCGCCTCCCCGGGAGGGAGGGCTGACGGATCTGCACAGCACGTGTGAGCGGGAGGGACTCGGAGCCCGAGACAAAGAACAGGCCGCACCTGGGCCCAGCCGGCCGCCCAGCCCAGAGAGGGGGTCTCGGCCAGCCGCGGCCGGAAACAGCCCGGGGCCACTCACATGCACACGCACGTGCACACAGACACGGACGTGCATTCACCGGCCCGTGAAACACACACACACAAGCTCACAAGGACACAGGCAGGCGTGCACACAGACAGACACACACCCAGACTCACAGCTCATACCAGCGCACACACATTCTCATGTGCACATACACAGACACACATGTGCACACGCACACACAGAGACACACATGTGCACACGCACACACAGAGACACACATGCTCACACACGCAGGCATACACACATTCTCACACACTCACCTACACATACACAGGCACACACAAAAATGCTCACATACATACACAGATGCACACACAGAGCACACATCCCTGCACACACTTCCAATGGACTGGGGGGCTGTGTGCAGAGCTGACTGAAACCCACCACCGGCCTCCCCCATGTCCTACCCCCAGGCCAGGGCCCCCGAATGGCTCTGGCAGCCCCCGGGATGGGACGCTGGCTCCCTCACTTGTGGCCAGCAAGCCCAGAGAAGTCATCCTTGGTACCAGGCAACCCAGGAGATGAGGCCGGCAGGGGTGCCAGGCACAGCCACAGAAGGCTGGCCCTCTGCCCCAGCAGAGCAGCAGACCCTCTCTCCCCCACCAGGCCCTCAGCCCCCAGCCCCTGGCTTCCTTGCTCCTGGACCCCCAGGCCTCCTGTACCCGCACCAGAAGCACCCCCCGCCCCACCCTCCTGAAGCCCTGGCTGGAGCCCACCCACCAACTGTGCCACCTGGTGGCCGGCTGTGGGTGTGCACCCTGACCCTTCCGCAGCCCCCACCAGCACCCTGTGTGAGCACCTACCCCAGGAGGTGCAGCTGTGGCATGGCCAGCCCAAGATGCTGCTGACCCGAGCCTCCGCCACACGTGGGCCCACCCGCCAGCCCCCTGGAAGTTCAGAAAGGTTCCAGGCCTGTCTCAGTGACCCCAGCCCTGGTCCCTTTGGCCGCTAGCCTAGGGTCCCCCCCCAAGCCCCAACACGCACACATACACACAGACACAGCTCCCCTGCCTGGGGCACAGCTTGGGCGTGCCTCTACTGGCCCTCAGGGGCCGGCAAATGGTCACTTTGCTCCCACTGGGCCTCTCCAGTCTGAATGGCAACAGTGGTCAGCTTCAGTAGCCCCCCGAGGTGGCCAGCGTGCCCCGGGGCCAGCCGCCAGGCAGTGTCTCCGGTCATTGGAGAGGGGCAGTTGGGAAGGACCCCCACCCATGTCCACGTGGTGACTTGGTAGCGCAAGAGGTGTCCACACAGGGGCTCCAAGTGCCCAGCACGAGCACAGCCGCGCCCTGTCCTTGGCAGCGGGGACCCCCACATACACACCTTCACAGGAAGACCACTGCAGACGGTGAGGGCCAGGGGCCAGGGACCCTCTGGAGAAACCTCACCCAGGCCAGGGGGCCAGCGTGGGGTATGAGCCTTGGGGCAGCAGCGCTGAGCTGGAGCTGGCTCAGATAGCCTCAGGGTCCCTGGGGAGGAACCGGCCCAGGCCAGTCTGGAAGCTGGACGTTGGATCTGTGTGCAGGCAGTGCCCCCTGGCGGCGGAAAGGGGAGCAGCCGGCCGACTCGAGGGCCGTGGGTCCAGGGCACAGTGGGGTCTCTGTGGCAAACGTGGGGGAAGAGCCTCCCCTTCTGAGAGTGCTCTGCACGGTTGGGTCCTGCTTCACAGGTACGTCGGCCCTGTCAGGAAGGGGAGGGTGGCACCCGCACCCCTTTCCTCTACTGAGGGTAGAGGGCAGAGGCTAAGATCCCCCCACCCAAGCCCCTGTCTCTGCCCGTGGGACACTGATACTGCAGCACAGAAAATGGCCACCAGGTGGTGCCCACGCATTAAAGATGTGAGGGACGGACTGGGGACAGTGGGACACGGGTGGGGGCGTGCTACTGAGGAGAGGTGGTCCATCACTGCTCAGATCTGTCCACAGAAACCAGGGCCTCCCTCCATGGCCACCAGGGACCCTACATCTGGGCGTCCCCACCACAGCGACCCGGTGGTAGAAGCTCTGGGCTCTGGGGGTGCAGACACCACCTGCTCCCACAGCACCCTAAGCTCCAGACAACACACTCCAGACCCCGACAATAAGAGCTGTCACTGCCCATCGGCCAGAGGCAGCCCG